AAATGAAATATGTGAGATGAGCTGTCATTCCCTAGAGATGCTGCATACTGAGCTGCAACAATGGAAGTTCTATGAGGCTGATGCATGTGTAGGCCGAAGATCTATCATTTGTTATTTTATAAATAATTTCAGTTTTTGATAACTTTTTTTTACTTTTAATTACATTATTCCATTTGCTCAATATAATGATTGATTTTAACTTAAGTTAAGAACTTTAAGAGTTTGTGTTTCTTAAATTTGTTATATTAAGTTGTGCCTAACTAAGCAAGTAAGCGATGGGAGTGCCTGACTAGGAAATACCCTGAATACATAGCTATAAACATCGCTGCTTGCTGCTGAAGTCTTTGGGCTTTGCTATAATAAATTAATTAAATTAAATAATAATAATAATAAATTAATTCATCAATTATTTGATATTCGTCATCATTTTTATAACCCATTTTAATTAATTTTGATAAAAATTGATTTTTGCTTATGAATTTTTGAGCAGAACTCGAGAACTATAGCAACTAGTGAATAGAGAAATAACTTAATACATTTATGAATATGTTAAAATGTAGTCATATATATATATAGAATATATAATGAGATCTGCTTAAAAGCAATGAAAAATAGTTTTCAAGATTTGTTTTCTTGAGAATACCTCGAGAACTTTAACAGCTAAAGTGATAAAATTTAGTAAGCAGGTTCGAATCAGCTACACTAAGAATAAGACAATTTTAATTTATATTGCTTAAACAAATTGTGGCTTCTATTGTTTCTTTCTTTCTCCAGACTTTCTTCATGGAAACCTTTTAGACTTTTTTTCAGAATATGGCTTCCTTTCGGCAGCAATTTGCGGATTTGTTCACAGTTACAGCTCTTTTAATACGCCCTTAATCTAGGCCATTTGCAGATTTTAGTTCTAGCTTTAAAAAAATGATCTTTGCACTCAGGAGACGACATTTTAAGCAGCTTAATGTTGACATTTCATGCACCCAAATGAAAAGCAAACAAAGATGTTCTCCGAAAACCACAAAAATAAAACGAAATACAAACTGGAGTAAATGGGAGTAGGTCCTGGGATGGGCTGGGCTGTGCTGGGCCAGGGCTTGCTGCTATTTTTAGCGCTCAATTAGCAGGCTGTTATCGAAGGCTGGAGGAGAAGAAGGCGGAGCAGTAGGAGCATGCCAAAGGACTCGCTTGCATTGCCACTGATTAAAGGAGGAGCCATCAAAAGGCGACGCTCAAGTGTGTCTCGTAAACGCATTTTAAAGCACAAACCTTGTTCAGAGCGTCATTCATATGTGGCTTATAGAGCTCTAAAGCGACCTCATATGCCAGCACATAAAGTGTAACACGAAAAAAATAACAGAGCAGCGAGAAGAAGAAGAGGAAGTGTTGCATGGAAATTGATAAACACTCTTCAATGAATACTTAACTATAGCTTTTATAAGTTAATAAGAATTTGTATATTGAGAAGATAAAGATGAAGCTAAATTGTTTACTATGAAACTAGTAAACTTTATAGGTTAAGTTTGGGTTAAAGCTTTGCCAAGGCAACAAGAAATATTTTAGTTAAGTTAACAGATTATTATGGATTTGCCAAGTCTCCAATTGGCGTAGATTTATGTACCACATATATATTTTTAGATTGTGTACACGATTATATACTCTATGTTTAAAGTCAGATATAGTATTTTCTGATTTGATCTAAAGTCTTTAGCTTCTATAGAAGGAAATGGTTTGCTTTCATATGATACTATGATTTCTATTAGAAATGATAAGCCAAGCAGCTCATATTTAATACATGCATTGCTCACAGCTAAAAGATAAATCTATACCAAGTTTCATAGTAGCATTCGCAGCTAAGTTAATCGAGTGTTGCCTGAATTGCATTTACCTGGTTTATCCTAGCCTACACATTGTTAATGCTCCATGTTAGGGTATACAAATATGAATTGAAGCATGTGGGGAATAACGAGCACTTGTATACACACACACACACACATCCACACACCCACACACTCGTACACACACATCCACAATGCCTGCAGTAATTTTTGCTCATTTCAAAGGCTGCATAAACATCTCTCTCTCTCTCTCTCCCTCTCTCTCTCTCTCTCTCAGTGTGTATGCTGCTCGTATGCGGTGGCTGTAATGCAGAAATTAAATTCATAAATATGCACAAGTTTAATAACATTTCAGATGGAAGCTGTCAAAGACGAAGACAAAACGCTTTGACGTTCCACAAAACAGTTTTACATAAATTCTCGCTGTGTTTGCTTAGCGCTGAGTCTGAAGAAGCATGAAATATACACCAAAGATTACAGAGATCCGTCCTGACTCTGCTTGCAATTTGAAGGTGCCGAATTTTAAAGTTGAAATCCATTTGTGGAACGCAAGAAAATTGTGTCTTTTGCTGACATTTTGTTGAGTCAAATATTTTATTAAATTTTATTTTTTATATGCCAGGCACTTAAAATAATACATTCCATACACACACACATACGAATTTGTATGTGTATATATAAACAGGCGCTTGTCCCTTTTCCGAGTGCCCTTCCGGCTAGTTGTTATTCATTGTTGTTGCTTTGATTTCTGCTGTTGCCTGACATTATGCGTTACAGGCAATTTAATATGCAATAAGCGGGCTGTCAGAGACACTCTTTCGACCACATTCCATCTCTTGTACCTCCGCTCTCTGCGTCTCTCTCTCGCTACCTAGCTCCTACTCAGTCTCTTTATACTTATTGCCAATTCTATAGACTTGGATCCTTTTGTTCAGCATAAGTTTGATTTGATGCGTCATATCTATATAAACACTGATTCATATTAACTATGAACTAGTCCATGCACAAAACTCGTTCCTTATTTATACAAATGTTCGTAAAAGATGTCATTTATTCACTTAATCATGACTGTTTGAACATTTGAAATGTGAATCAAATACGAATCGTGTTCTTGAGTTTTTAAATAGATTGATTCATTCGTGAACCATTGAACTAAGTGAACGAGTCCCTGAAAAGGAGACTACTGGAACCTGTAGAACTTTAAGTGAAATTGAAATGAAATTGAATCTGTTCGTTCAGGTGAATGTAGTATTTTAAACTTTACTTCAATGGAATGGTTTTGGGATTGCATTACTCATCATTACATATAAATATCTCTCTCTCACTCTCTTTCTGTCTCTCTCTCTCTTGCTATAACGCTTTGTTTATGAACTGTAGAACTGTCCTGAAATTGAACCAGAATTTTTAAATTGTGGATTGAATGCACTTGGACAGTTCGCATGATAATTCTGTCCTCCATCTCTCTCTCTCTCTCTCTCTCTCTCTCTCTCTCTCTCTCTTTCTCTTTCTCTCTCTCTCTCTCTCTCTCTCTCTCTATCTTTCTATATCTCTCCCTTTCTCTAACTGTCTGTTACTTCTCTCGCTCTCTCTCTCACTGCTTAGCTCTGTCGCTCTCTCTCTCTTTCTCTGTCTCTCTAACTTTATAATTATTCATAACGCAACTGGCACTCATATGAACACTCGAGCACTCTAGAGTGTGCTCTAGAATTTTCAACTTAATCTTTTTTTGTTGTGTTTAACGCATTTTGTTGGCCTTTTTCACGTCTCCCAGCCAGCAGAATCGAACTGTTAAATGTTTCTCTAATTGAGTTGTTCGCTTTGATACGATTGAATTTTTAATTTAATTTCCATGCAATTGATTTCATAATTAAAAGAGTGGGCGTGGCAATAAAGCGCGCGAAAATCAATGGAAAAATGTTAAGCCCGCCATTAGCTGCGATTGCCTTGCGATTTATTGCAGCCAAACAGGAAGAGGAAGAGGATATAAAGGAGCTACAAGAGTTAGCAAGTGAAGTGGCCGCAGTAGGAGCAGGAATATGCAAGAGCAGCAGCAGCGATGGCAACAAGCTAAGATAATTTATCTTGAGTGCGCACTTAATTTTTCATGTTGTTCTTGTTGTTGTTGTCGAATTAACGCCCAAGTGCATTAATTAAACCTTAAAGCTCGAGCCATGGCAACGCATGTTTATGCTTAGATATGCACACACACACACACACACACACATATATATATATATACTATATATATGTATATCCCCAAAATGCTCGTCATGATTTTCATATCGAATTTCTGTAGGGGTTTCTTTCTCCCCTTTTTTTTGCCCTACATAACTTTGCGCTAATTGGTGCTCCAATAAAGAGCCTTTTTATCGACACTAATTTCAGCGGCAATAACTGGGTAACCGCAGCTAAACTAACCAACAATTGGGCGTTAACTAAGGCCGCAGCACAGAGAACACATTGCGTATACGCAACGTAAAAGGGTAAAGATAAAAGCGCAGAGCACGCTTTGTACGCCGTGTGAATCGTTAATAGAGAAAGGAAAGTTAATGAAATTTGCTTTGGCTGCATATTGCAAAGAACCCTCGATAGCACATATATATATAAATATGACTGTATATAGTGATTTATGTATATAGGCAAATTGGCTCAGTTGAGCAAAGTAAAAAGCTGCAGTAGATAACATGCCTAGACTTTTGCTTTAGCTCACAAAACTTGGCCAGAACTTAAACGATTTTCTTCTAGTTTGCCTTTCTCTTTTCTCAAAAAACTTCTAGATAGTCTAGATCTTAATATCAAACTTTGTTACCTTATATAGATCTTAATAAAAGGCTTTAGATTAATTCAAAATTAAGATTTTATAAATGTTGAATTCACATTGAAGTAGTTCAGAGTATAATTGTTTTGTGAACATGTATGTAGCAGGCACAAGAAGGCGTGGCAGGACAACGGACTGTGTCAATATAACCGTATCTGACTGTCTGATTGATTTTGTATCCTCTTGTCAGGCATTCCCTCTCCTCATATCTATCATATTTTATGCTAAAAGCTGTTAAATGCAATCAAAGATTCACTTTATTTAAAGGAAAAAAACATAAACAAAACTCCAAAACAAAAATTGAAAGTAAAATTCACAAAGTCAAATTCGAAATGGATTAAAAGGCGAATCTAAAATCTGTAACGACGAATGGCGCGATATTGATAGCCATCCTTGGTAAGCACAGAGCTCTCGCCATCGGCAGGGCCTTCGACAACAACGGCATCGTCGAGCGGCGGCAAGTACTCCTTGGCGGCCTCCTTCAGCTCAGCGGGCATCTCCATGGGCTGCTTATAATGATAGCCATCGTCACGTAGCTCAGCTGTGGGCACATCGACCACGATTTGATCCTCAACCAAGGGCTGTGCCGGAGCTGGAGCTTCCGTTTCCTCAACGGGCGCCTCAGTGCTGGCTGGCTGCTCCTCTACAGCTGGAGGCAGATACTCGTTGGCCACCTTGGGCTGCACAGCGGAGACAACCTCCTCGGTGTCATCAGCTGCAGCAGGTGCAGCTGGTGTTGGCACCACGGCAGGTGGCAGATACCTGTTGCTAGGAGGCGGCAAATACTGCTGACCAGGCAAATGGGAAACATCGCGACGGTTGCGATGACGCAGCTTGAGGCGTCGCACCGTGCGATACTCGTAGCCTTCGTCGCCACGCACAGCACTCGGCTCCTCGGTGGCATCAGCGGGCAAATACTCCGTTGCCGGTGGCACATATTCCATGGCTGCGGCATCCACCAGCTCGGAGACATCGCGACGTAGACGAGCAGCGCCCTGAGGTGCAGCCAAAGCAGCGCTGGCCACGGCCGAGAGGGTGAGCACGGATCCAAGCGAGAAGATTTTCTGCAAGGAAAAGGGCAAACGTTAAAGTTATCCCATGCATATATGTACAAGGGTCTATAGCCTATTCCCTGTTTTACCATTTTCTTGTCGGTTTTTTACGATTTGTTCGGGTTAACTGCGTCTGGCAATTAAAAGTTGCTTTGGCTGTTTGATGGCTTGGCTCTAGTCGACCGTCGCATTTATAGCAAAAAAGTTTTGAGGCCTTAGCCTTCGCCTTAGTCTTAGCCGTAGCTACAGTTTCAGTTACAGTTCCAGTTCCAGCCTCCAGCCTCCAGCTGGAGTTCAGTTCAGTTCGCTTCGCTTCAGCTTAATTAAAAATATTCAAAAAATCGTATTTTTTTGTCTCTCTTGCTGTGTTTGTTATTGTTGCCTTTGGCTTGAAGTGCGCCACTTGAGTCTCTCTTCAGTTTCAGTTTCAGCTTCAACTTCAGCTTCAGCTTCGATGTCGTCTCCGGTCTTCATCTTCAGCTGCAAAGTCTTGGCGCTTCAATATCTGCCATTTGTGTACGGCCTTTGCCTTGCTTTAGTTTTTTCCTATTGCCTGCAATGTCAAGTGGTGTACGCCAGCGTGCTTGACCTTTCTAGATGGTTATACATTGATATATACAGGGTATGCAGAGGGTATATTGGAGTACATATTGTATGCATTTGTAAGCTGTTTTGTAAAGTGTATATGAGACAGCTCTCGATTGGTTTGGCTTTCAACTAAGTTACTATGATCCATACAGGGTATCTAGCAGTCATGACATATTAAGCTCTTGCGTAAAAATAGTGTATTTGTTAGTCGTGTCTAACTAACTTTAAATTTAGCTATAAAACTCATAGCTTTGCTTCGTCAAAGACAGAGTAACTCTTAGTCTATCAAAGGCTTTCGATTATTTAGCTTTTTTTAGCCATACACCTCAAGTAGTTCATCTTTTTTTTTGTTGAGGTGTTAATTTGCTGGCTGCTCAAGCACTGCGGAAGTACTACATTTATTTTTAGGCCTCGCCGTTGGGAACGACTCGAGAGCCTCACAAAAAGCCGCTGAAGTGGGCCTTTGGTTGGGCTTCATCTTGTTTCGCATTGTGTGTGTGTCGCTGTCAGAAAATATCTCATTTGTAATTGAAATAAATTAAATATATATATATTTTAAATATGCATTGCCAAACCGTAGGCTGTCGAGTCCTGACGATCAAAATGCAATCAGAGACTTGTTGCGGAAATTATTTATTGATTAAAATTTATTGTGACGCAGCAACAACAAAAAGTCATTTGCTGGCGGCTGCTGTCCAAAATCTGAATTTAAATACTCAGTAAAACTCATTAAATAATCATAAATGTAATTAAAAAAATAACATTCACACACAAATACACACGCACACATCTCATTTTATAAATTACAAATTGAACTGGAAACGTTTGTAAAATTAAATCGAACTATGTAAATTTTTTTCCTTCTTTTTTATGGCATTGTTAATGAACTCTTATTGGACATGTGTGGCATGTGGGCGTTGGGCGTGGCCAGCTGCCACGTGTCATTAACATTTATAGCTCTCACGCATGCAAATGAGAGAGAGCGACATAGAGAGCGTGAGCGAGATAGACTCTACATAATACTTATGCAAATCCAGCTAAAACAAATACGCAAATCCATAAGCGCCTTAACTTCTTGTGTGTTTTCCAGCCTAGATAAGCCTGGAAATCTGCTTAGCTGCCAAGTAAATCATTTCCGTAGCTGTTTGTCTGCCTAAAAGGCGGCAACAACTTTTCATTCGATACGCGCAGTTGGGCCTGAAAATCGGCTATAGGGAATATATGGATGGGATTAGCCCCAACTTGTTGCTAGCGTATATTTTCCTTAGCCTATTTCATTTGCTTCTTTTTGTCTAAAAGCTACTCATGTGCAATATTTTGTGTCTAGGCTTGGAAAGTTGCTGCTTGGGGTTTGCGTATTTGTCTTAGGTGTGTGTAGAGCATAATTTATGGCGCTAGTTAAGCAAAAAACAAGCTGAAGTTCTTGAAAATGGAATGAACCGACTATGAAATGCTCTACTCTATATACTTATGTATACTTATACTTATACTTATACTTATACTTATACTTATACTTATACTTATACTTATACTTATACTTATACTTATACTTATACTTATACTTATACTTATACTTATACTTATACTTATACTTATACTTATACTTATACTTATACTTATACTTATACTTATACTTATACTTATACTTATACTTATACTTATACTTATACTTATACTTATACTTATACTTATACTTATACTTATACTTATACTTATACTTATACTTATACTTATACTTATACTTATACTTATACTTATACTTATACTTATACTTATACTTATACTTATACTTATACTTATACTTATACTTATACTTATACTTATACTTATACTTATACTTATACTTATACTTATACTTATACTTATACTTATACTTATACTTATACTTATACTTATACTTATACTTATACTTATACTTATACTTATACTTATACTTATACTTATACTTATACTTATACTTATACTTATACTTATACTTATACTTATACTTATACTTATACTTATACTTATACTTATACTTATACTTATACTTATACTTATACTTATACTTATACTTATACTTATACTTATACTTATACTTATACTTACTATACTTATACTTATACTTATACTTATACTTATACTTATACTTATACTTATACTTATACTTATACTTATACTTATACTTATACTTATACTTATACTTATACTTATACTTATACTTATACTTATACTTATACTTATACTTATACTTATACTTATACTTATACTTATACCTATACTTATACTTATACCTACACATATACTTATACCTATACTTACACACATTCTTATAATTTCTCGCCCCTTTCCTATTTATAGGGTATATAATAAAGAGTATATACAGACTAAATATTGTGCAATAAATTTTGTGCCTCATTGATTTTCGTGCTGCTCTTGACTTGTGATTTTATTTAAAATACGATTTTTATGTCTATTTTCTTACCATTTTCCTGCTTTTTCTCAATGTGTGCTTGTATCTGTGTGTCAGTTGAGGTTCAATTTACATGTGCCACAGTTTGTGGCATACAACTGGCTGCCGTTGTTTAGGTGGTGTTGTAGTTGTTGTAGCGATAAAAGGCAACAGCTTAAAGGAGCTCCCAGCGGCTCATCGACCATTAACCGGCTGTAAAGTTAACCTGAGCTGCTCCTGCTGCTGCTACTGGCGAACTCTTTAACAAACTCGAACTGAAGCTGGAGCTAGAGCCTGGCCGCGGGCGGATAATGTTGGAAAAGGGCAGCTTGGGCAAACAACGCAAACAAAAATCCTGGGCCAGGGAACGGTTTATGCAAATGTCGATGCTTGTTTGTGTGTATTCGTATCTGTGTGTGTGTGTGTGTGTGTTCAGCACTTGTCCAACTTGTAGATAGCGACCGCAGGCGCCAGTCGACTTGATGCCGCATTTATTAACTTAAAATATTTATATATTTTAAATAGGCAAGCCTGAAAAAAGGAGCAGCAGCAGGCTGTAAAAAGGGTCCTTCGGCATATCGATTTGGCAAATCTATTTACGAAATTTAAATTGCTTCTTTACAGCTGCTGGTAGGACATGAGAATCCTTTTTTCGGGGTTTAACAAATTGCTGCGACAAGGACACGAAATTGCCATCAATCAATTTATTGCGCATACGCAGCGTGGCCCACGCTCCTTACTCACTTAATTGGACTATAAATTTTGGACTTGACAGTCGCATTTAAATGCGCTGATCCAAACTTCAAATCACATAGGTAGCAAGCATAAGCATTAACTACATGTAGCGTCTAATTAAGCCATGGCTTGTTAGCAAGGCCCCTTCGAGCAAATGACAGCTAATGTAAGAAGCACCCACTTAAGTCTGACAGAGCTATTGAAAATTTGATGAGCTCTTGGTATGAGCAATGATAATGTAGATTGACATCATAACACATAAATTCTTGAACATTTGAACAGGCGCCTTGAGTGGCTGTCAGGAGGGATATATGTGAACAAAATGTGATTCGGAAAGTAAAAATGTCATTGAACCAGAAACGTTTCCGGCTGTCGTTCAGTCTTCTTCTTTTTTTTAGTGTGCGAGAAGGATTTACTGAAGAGATTTATGTAAATTGTCATAGCTTTTGATTTCTATCTGTTGAAATAACTTGGCACCGGTTGAGTTTCTTTGTATAGATTAACAGACGATTTTTCACTTGTGTTAAGGGTCGAATTGCTTATATATATTTTTGTAGTATTAGCTTGGCTTTATGTCTATGTTGATGAAATTCAATATATATACATCTTTTGCTCCAGAGTCAGATACTTCCCGCTAGAGCACTCTCACTTGTTCTCCCTGTCTAACTCGTATTTTTACCTTAATTTATTTGGGTAAAATTTTTACTATCTCTCCCTCGCCCTAACCTAATTTACTCTGCGCTTGTTCTACGTTTTCCTTTTTTTAGCATTTATGTATATTCATCACCCATTTCTGTGATAAATGGCCCCGCAATACGTGCGAATTTCAACTTGGCTAACATAAAGTTTTGCTTTAAATTTGGTTAAGTTGAACTGTGGGAAGCCTTAAGTTACGTGAATATTTTACCAATCAAAATCGTCATTTATAACATTTTTAGGTCAGCTGCAACATTTATAATGCAGTTATACTCCTCACTCCCTTCTTCGTCTCACCTGTCTGCGCTAAATAAAGCTTTGTTCGAATCGAAAAAGCGAACTGCCAAAAATATGACCATAAATATTTATAAACTTTAAAGAGCCTCAACGAGCCGAAGAGTCATAAAAAAATCGATGCCACTGCTTAGGTTTGCTTTTGTGTGAGCTGTGACACGCCCACCTTCAAAAACACCTGCTAGGCCTCAGCGCCACCTGCTATCTGTGTGTGTGTGTGTGTGTGGCGAGCTGTGTTCTATGCATATTTAAAATTCAATTTAAATGC